AAAACTCTCTCCATGAGTTGGTTTTAAAACCCAGTCTAGTATTCCCATGGGATACCAAGGTTATTATTACAAGATAAATCATTTGCTTCATTGAACACAGACAACAATGCATATTTCCACTGAGATAAGTGACCTTTGAATGTGTATCAGTCATCAGTGTGTGATGTGTATCACCAGTGATCAGTCAAGTAGAAACAGTCAAAATATTTTATCAGATTTTCTCAATTTTCGCACGATATTTTCATACAGGACATCTGTCATTCATACTCAGGGAAGACTTTATACTGATGAATAAGGTGACCAAGTTTGATAAAGTTTATAATAAAATTAGTAAAGTTATTATGCACACAATGACAATTATTAACGACGACGACAACAACAACAACAACAACAACAACAACAACAACGCCGGACAGAAATTTTTCCCTTAATATACCTTTCCCTTCCATCTTTGATGTTACGGGCAAGGTAATAAAACCCATATTATTTTCAGTTTTTTTTCCCCAAATTGTGATCATGATTTGTAGACAATAGAAAAGTTGGTCCAAAATTTTGAAAACAATTATAGAAAAATACATAAAATCTTGCAAATAATGGAATGAAAAATGATGACATTCAAAGCGTTAAGAACTGCAAATCAAAGTAGGTATTGGTGGTACAGATAATGAAGAAAACTTTTGTTTGAAAATATACTGCAACAACTCAACACATCAACCATGACAAACTTGGAATTCACTTTCAGTGTCTCAACAAAACATGTACAGAATAATGATTCACAGATTCTTACTTCTAGTGCAGTCTGGTTGTAAAGAAAGAAAAATTGCCCTGTTAAAATTACAACAACTTCTTCTCTGACATACTCTGAAAAAGAAAATACAAAACAATAAGTATATGTGAAGTCAGAGGAAATTTGTATCAACTTGCAAATAAGTGCATTATAAGAGTTTGGCAATGACATTACTGATTGAAACAGCTTGATCAATCTAATTCAGGTTAGGGGGCTTGATCAATCTGATTCAGATTAGGGGGCTTGATCAATCTGATTCAGATTAGGGGGCTTGATCAATCTGATTCAGATTAGGGGGCTTGATCAATCTTTTTGAGGTTAGGGGCTTGATAAATCGTGTTAAAGTTTACTGAATGAGCTTGATAAATCTTGTTGAGGTTTATCGAGGGGGATTAATACATTCTGTCAAGGTTCACTTAGGGGGCTTGATAAATTCTGTCAAGGTTCACTTAGGGGGCTTGATAAATTCTGTCAAGGTTGACTTAGGGGGCTTGATAAATTCTGTCAAGGTTTTGTATCACACATTACTCTCTAGTTCAGCTGTATCAGTATCTTACCCAGCTCCCTAGTTCATCTGTGCCAGTATCCTACTAAACTCCCTAGTTCAGCTCTACCAGTATCATACTTAACTCCCTAGTTCAGCTGTGCCAGTATCATACTTAACTCCCTAGTTCAGCTGTGCCAGTATCCTACTTACTGAACTCTAGTTCAGCTGTACCAGTATCATACTTAACTCCCTAATTCAGCTGTACCAGTATCATACTTAACTCCCTAGTTCAGCTGTGCCAGTATCCTACTTAACTGCCCAATTCAGCTGTACCAATATCATACTTAACTCCCTAGTTCATCTGTTCCAGTATCCTACTTAACTCCCTAGTTCAGCTGTACCAGTATCATACTTAACTCCCTAGTTCAGCTGTGCCAGTATCATACTTAACTCCCTAGTTGAGCTGTGCCAGTATCATACTTAACTGCCTAATTCAGCTGTACCAGTATCATACTTAACTCCCTAGTTCAGCTGTGCCAGTATCATACTTAACTCCCTAGTTCAGCTGTGCCAGTATCATACTTAACTGCCTAATTCAGCTGTACCAGTATCATACTTAACTCCCTAGTTCAGCTGTGCCAGTATCATACTTAACTCCCTAGTTCAGCTGTGCCAGTATCATACTTAACTGCCAAATTCAGCTGTACCAGTATCATACTTAACTCCCTAATTCAGCTGTACCAGTATCCTATTTAACTCCCTAGTTCAGCTGTACCAGTATCTTACTAAACTCCCTAGTTCAGCTGTTCCAGTATCCTACTTAAAGGCCCAATTCACTTGCCCCGGGCAAGTGTGAATTGGAGGTGTGGCTATTCTAATGCATGGTATTAAACACTTGCATAGCCTATGACGCATCCTGTTCCAGCGGTCCAACATCACGTGACTTTGATTGACAATAGTAATTATTCAAGATTAGTCGCGCATCCCTTTCCCCGGTTCATGTTTTTTACTTTTATCCGCCAAAATCTCAGCTCGTACACTATTTATTGTCATAAATACTACACACAGTCACTGCTGTGATATTCATAGTCACATGCATCCACTTTGGCACGACATAATAGACATGTAAGTTCGAGAAAACGCGTTTTTACTGGAGCTTGGCTGGAGCTGTTTACTACAGCGTAACAAGCAAGGAAATAATCCCTATTGTTTAGGAGCGTATTTATAGTATACCTGGGCCTTTAACTGCCAAATTCAGCTGTACCAGTATCATAATTAACTCCCTAGTTTAACTGTTTTAGTACCTTACTTATCTAAATCAAATGTCATGTACATCATGTGAAAAAGTTAGATATACCTTTCATCCAAGTCCACTTTCCAGGATACAACTCTGATCCATGTTCCAGAGAGTATTTTTTAGCTTCTTTGAATTCATCATCTTCTGAAGTTCTCTCTATACTCAAGTACTGGGTTGGCATGTTTGACCTTTGACCGGAAGATCTTCCATTATCCTGTTGGGGATCAAATTCCTCATCATACCAAGTCGTACGAGATGATTTGTGATCACCAGCAAAATCAAGTGTATCTGATAGTGCCTCACCATTTGGTATCAGTTGATCGGTTTCATCATAATTTATGACGTTAGCCAGTACCCTGGCAGCCTCTGTTGCAAGAATCTTCTCTTGTTCCTCAATATTTGGTAAATCATAGTAAGCAAAGAAGACCAGCAATTCCATCAAGATCCATAAAACAGTCATAAAAATCTGAGAAATACATGAACATAACATTATAAGACAAGTGGGTGAATATGCATATGCCATATTTGACATCAGAACAGAACATCTAATTAAAAGATAATTCTTACTTTTATCATTTTTTCCCCCTTTTCTTTTGTGCATTTTTCATTTTTTTTTTTTTTTAATGTATTTCATTGTTATTGCTTTTAACTGATGACAATTTATTTCAAGGATGCAATAAAAATTTGTTATTATTATTAACATGTATAGTAATAATATTACGATTGTTTCGTTGATAAACACTGTGTGATGTTTACAGTAGTGCAACAATGTTTTTGTTTCTATGACAAACTATGTTGTACTCAAAAGGTGATTTGTGGCCACATTACCTGCAGCAAAATTAGTAATTTTATTCAGAACTGTGAAACCAAAACTCAATTGTGAAAAGCGGCTTTGAAGAGAATATCCTCTGGCAAGCCTTTGTTCTCTCCTGGTGAACAACATTAAATATTATTGTAATAATTATATATTTGCATACCATACCAACTTTTGGTGAAAATCATAGTCATAGAGACCAAATTCACCCTCTGAAACAACTTTTAATTTTACAATTTTACACTAGTTTAAAATTATGGTAAAAATTTATAGTGTTAAGAGTAAAGTCATACTGCTTTTTAAAAAAAAAAACATTGAACAGGCCTGGCTGATGTATGGCGTCAGTTTTCAAAATGAAAATGCAAACATTGTTCCACTATTGTAAACAGGACATTGGTTTTATTGAGGAAACACTCATAATATTATTACTTTTACACTCACTGTAAAGGTCATTAGTGACTACGCTGAGTAGTCGCTTCACTCCGCTCAGGTGTTAGCGGTAATAAATGTATTACATTTACCATAGTCCATATGAATTCAAGTTTTATTACCAAACGCTTCAGCGTGGTATTAAGATTTTGTTTTCAGGCTTGGGTGGTACCAAGGTGGAAAATGGTTGCACATACGGGGGGTAATTCCTGGAATTGCAATAGAGAGGGTTCAGGCCGAAATACATATATATAGTGTTTCCATGTTTCGTCTGATATTTCTGTGGTATTCTGCTGCTGTAAATAATGCAAGATTTGTTCCGAAATTCAGTGTGTTGTGTGCACTCCAGGGTTATTCGTTTTTTGCTCAAAACACCCCTATTTTTTAATGGCAGAGTCGAATAGTTTCACTCCCACTGGGAAATCTGCATTATTACTTGAATGAGAGCTAACTAAACACATTTTCCAGACCGGCGAAAGTGTATGCAACAGCCAATTTTAACAGCCTGTCACGTGATTTTAGTCTGAATATCAACATCAAAAGAGGCTAATCCATTTACGCAGGTATACTGGGAATAGAATATGTGAGGATTGTATCAACAGAGATGTGTATAATGAAAAGTAACATCTATCCTTCTTTTGAATCGCTGAGCATTTCTGTT